AACAATGTCAAGTCAATGTATCATCTAAAGTTAGAAACGCCTTTGGTCACTGTTTCTCCTGGGTGCTCTAGAAATGTGTACGTTTAAGTAATACTTAAACCCCACTGTTCCCACTAAGAGCCCGGGAGCCACTCAAGGGAATCTCAAGCCTATGGCTTTGAAACACACATGCTTCAGCTGTTCTTTGTTAACTGAAATGATGCAGAATTATATATACTTCAGTCCTTTGGTGCTTGCTGCAATTATTTTCCTCTTAATACGTTGAGCCAAAGGAGTTTTGTTGTGGTGTGTGACAGATCACTGCAAACAAATCTAGGATGTACTAGGGAGTCTTTATTAACCAAGCCTGGTGATGGCAGTGCCTGCTAGAAATTAGCAAATGACAAGTCCATGTGGCAATTTAGTCATTACTGTGATGTATGTTCCAGCTTCTCCAGCAATGTGATGTGCTGAGACGTGCAGTGAACAACCTGGACACATTTACAAAGCTGCAAACATTCATCTTTTCCTGGCTTCTCTGCCTACCTTCCACCACTGCTAGGCCTCACCTCTCCTGAAACTCTTGGAACAACACAAATGAGAAATACAAAGTATCTTAGCATTTGCATCTTCACTGACCCAAGCAGTGAGCAGAGGGTGAGGAATCCAGGCATACAACGGCCATGTTCAGGGGCTACCTGTCCTCGGGGGTCTGTCCACAGGGAGCCTGAGAGCAAGCAGCTACTGGAGAGGCCAAGAATCTGACTGCGAGAGTGTATGAAGTACACAACTGAGCTCCTCCCTTATCTTGGGCCTTTGTAGGGACCTGTAAGGGGTGTGGTCACATCACAAAGCAATAGCCCCCCCTCTCCGGTTCCAGGTGATGATGGTGAGCATCATCTGACTCACCAGTGGACAGAAAGGATTCGGGGGGTTGGGGAGGCATGGTGTCCAAGTCATGACCCTGAACTTGCTGCCTAAGACCACTACAGTTGCAGAGCTGGGGAAAGATAGACTGAACCCTGATCTGTTGTGACCCTGTGTAATTCTCATTCACCTTCAGGATGCTGATCACAGATATTAAGGATCCTCCCGGGCCCCAGACTTCTCTGCAGCCAGAAACAAGTTGAAATGATGCCTTTTATACATCGTTCTTCCTTCAGCACTTCCACAATCCAAGTGCTGGTCTTCTGGAGTGGGATGATTCACAAGACATTGGGTGATTCTCTCTCTTTCCAGTTTCAGCAATGAGGCTGGTGTTTCATAGTTTAAAGAATAATAGCATACGTTGTTACAGCACTCTGGCCACTGGCACCATCTTTTCCATGGAAGAAAATGATTTGGGGTTCTCGACAGCCTCAATCCTTACACTAGCAGAGGTGAAAAAGAAAGGGGAAGGGGGACTGAGAGACACCTGGCACAAGCAAAACATACTCAGCCACTAATCCCAGTATTGAAGACATCAACCAGTGGTCTGGACACCTTTTCCATGAATACGCTAGGGTTACTTGACATCCTCACCCTTGACAAGAGTTCCTGGCTACAACTCTTCTACTCTGGCTCCTTGCTAACGTGCCCCTTGAGCAGCTGCAAGCAATGGCTCCAATGGTACCTGTGTTCCAGTCACCTGCATGGGAAGCCCAGATTCAGTCACAGGCTGCAGGCTTCAGCCTGGCCCAGCCCTGGCTACTGTGGGCACGTGGGAATGAGGCAGCAGACGGAAGATCTCTCAGTATGACTCTCTTTCAGAATAAGAGATGGAAAGACAGAGAAGGACAGAGAGATTTGAAAAAAAAAATATTTCTGATTTCTGGGCCCTACCTCAGACCTACAGAATCCCAGCCTTGATGGGGACAGCCAGGGACCATGCGTTGTTCTGTTGGCAGCTAAGGCCCACAAGCCATGTACTGTCCTCAACTTATAAAAAGTCCTTACATTTAAAAAGGTAATTGGGAGAAAGGAGAGAAAAGAGAAAGAAAAAGGCAAGCAACAATATGCAAATGTAGTCTGAAGTCTGCACTCTGATGGGTAATCCAAATCACAACTCATCAACATGCAGTCAAGACAGGAGGAGCCGAGAGCGCATGCCCACCAGAGGCGAAGGAGCCAAGAGCGCATGTGGACCAGAGGCGGAGGAGCCGAGAGTGTCCGTGGACTAGAGGCTACTCCCAAGCCAAGAACACCTGGTGTCTTGAAGCAACCAAGTCCCAGTGCTACCTCTCCTTCATGTCTCCCTCCAGTTGTACGAAAGAAGACCCCCCTTAATCCCAAGGCTAGCTCCTTCCCTCTCCTCTTGTTCATTGGCTTGTTGCTCTTTCCTTTTGAATCTCTTTCATTAACACTGAAAACCAACCCTAGAGACTCTTAATTCCACCCAAGATAGTGATAAACAAAAGCTTGCATACCCTGGCCTTTGTGACAAGAGCTCTGTCACCCTGGTTTATTGGGATATAAAAGTCTGTATGTTCTTAGACAAAGTGCGTCATCCTCAAAGCTTAGATGGCTGCAGTGCAGTTTAATAAAATCATTTCTCCGTTAGAAAAAAAAAATAAAGTGATGAAATGTGCAAAACTGTCACCTAAAAATGTACTTGTAATAAAGTTAAGTAGCATTTTATTATTTTTTTTAAGATTTCATTTTTATTGGAAAGGCAGATATACAGACAGGAGGAGAGACAGAGGAAGATCCTCTGTCTGATGGTTCACTCCCTAAGTGACCACAACGATCAGAGCTAAGCCAATATGAAGCCAGGAGCCCGGAGCCTCTTCCTGGTCTCCCACACAGGTGCAGGGTCCAAAGGCTTTCGGCTGTCTTTGACTGGTTTCCCAGGCCAAGAGCAGGGAGCTGGATGGGAAGTGGGGTTGCAGGGACCAGAACTGTCGCGCATATGGAATCCTGGCATGTTCAAGGTGAGGACTTTAACCGCTAGGCTATATTGCGCAGGGCCTGAGGGAGATGAATTGTGGATAACTTCATAAATGTACATCAGATGGCAGCTATATTACAAAATAGCATAATTCAATGACTGCACTTACTTTCTTTATTGCGATATGCTTGTTCCAAATGTGTTTATTGCCACACACAGAAAGGAAACATGTAAAACCCTATCCCCAAATACCTGGGAAATGAAAACCAAAGCATTATAAGTCCTCAACACAATGCATGGGAAAACAGAGTGCAAGTAGAATAAAGGAAAATTGAATTCAACAGCTTTCCACCCAAGCGGTGAACAACCTCCCTGCATGAGAATCTTGGCACAGAGGGTGTGGCCTCCCGGCCGGCCGAGGAAGCACACGCTCACTGGTGGAAGCAGGCTCGCATTTGGGCATCATTACCGTCAGACTCGCCAGGTCATCCCAAGGTCAGAAGACAAGTCCTGCAGGAGTTCTTTCTAGATATTTGTTCTAGATTCTTTTAAAAAAATTCTTTTTGTTTATTTTTCATGTGGAGAAAGAAGCTCTATAAGAGCATCTGGAAATAAATATTGGCTTTAAAAATACATGAACTTGTAAGTGACTTCTTTGGGGCTTATGAACTGCACTTTGTATTTTGTCCCTCACAAAGAAAGGCACGTTAAAAACCTTACTAGAAACGAACATGTTTCGGATAAAAATCTCAAATATCTAACATTTTTTCAGAAACAGATTTTAAAGCCCTAACATCTTGAAATCTAGCATGCTTTGCCATTGAATAAAATTATGACTCATCTTAGTAAGAACATGCGTTTTTGGTAAGAAAGCGGCTTTCTGAGCTAAGTTTGAACTGTGGAGCTCAGGGGACACTCACAAATGCAGTCAGCAGAAGTCTTCAAACTCCTGAAAGATTAAAGGAAAAATAAATTAGTGTGCACAGAGAATGAAAAAAAAAAATCCCCAATGGTACTAATCTATATGCGGAAGTAAAACTAAAACTCCCCTGAAATCCCCCAAACACCAATCCTTATAAACGCAGCACGTGTGTGCAGCCTGGCCTTCTTCAGCACTCCCTTAGTTCAACGAACAGGAAAGCCTGTGCTGACTTTCAGCTGCTCAAGAGTTCTCACATCTCCTCAAGCACGGACCCCCGACCTCTGTCCTCACACACAGAGCGCTTTCCGAACCACGCATGCAAACGCGGGGTTTCCTGAGCGCTGCCGCGGGCGGGCTGCTGGGGACCCCGTGCGTTCCTTCGCAGGTGCGTACCCCAGAGCGCGCGCGGCGCGGGGGCGCAGGTGTGTGGTGGGCGCCCGGGATGGGTGGGGCCGGGCGTGTGCCTGGACGGGGGGTGGGGAGTTGTGATAGGATGACCGTGACGTTCGGGCTGCAGGATCCTGGAGGAGGGGAGTCTTTCCAAAGCTCCGCGCACAGGGGTAGCAGCAGCCTGCCAAGTGTCCTTTGTCACTTGCAAGTTAAACGACTTATTCTGTATGAAAAAAAAAAAAAAAAAAGGACCCTGGCCAAACACTCTCACAAAACACTTGTTGCCAATCCACTACTCCTCTAGCCCCCGTCAAGCCTAGCACCTCTGAACTCTACCTCAAATCCAATCCCAATTGCAAATGCGGGAATAGCCCCGACCCCGGGTCACCCCCGCGAAGGTAGCTCCAGAGCGCCGCCAGCTCGGGCTCCGGGGCGCTGGAGCACTCCCTGCAGGGGACCACCTCCTTGGCGTCCGCCCGCGGAGGAAGGGAGGCGACGTCCGCGGGACTCGGCGCGGGCCCGGGAGCGGGTTTTGTGCAGCCAGAGGCGCCTCGGCCGCGGCCCCGGGGCGCCCCTCCCCGGCCCGGGCTCTCCGCCCGCGCGCCGCCCGAGGCCTCCCCGCGCGCCAGGCACAGCGCGGCGGCGCGAGCGGCGAAGGGGAGCGGCGGCACGGCCGGCCCCGTGGCCCCGCGGGCTGCAGCCTGGGCGACCGCGGAGGCGGCGGGCAGGGCGCGTGCGCACTGCAGGGGCGCCAGATTTGGCGGGAGGGGGAGTGTCCAAAGCCCTTTGTTTGATGGCATCTCTGTTTACAGAGTTTACACTTTAATATCAACCTGTTTCCTCCTCCTCCTTCTCCGCCTCCTCCTCCTCCTCCTCCTCCTCTTTCTCCTGAGAAACTTCGCCCCGGCCGTGCTGAGTGCCGCTGCGCAGCCGGGGAGGGACGCAGGCAAGGCGGCGGGCAGCGGGAGGCGGCAACCCCGTGCGGTCCCCTCGCGTCTCTTCGGAGGAGCCCGGCTCCCGCCGCGCCATGGCCCGGAGACCCCGGCACAGGTAACGGGGAGCCCCCCGAGGGCGACCAAGGGCGGAGGCGCGCGGGGCGCTTGGCGCCCCAGAGCAGGTGGGAATTGCTTCTTGGCTCCTCTGCGGGGTTGTCAGATCCCGCGCCAACGTAGAGCACCTACTTTGGCTTATGAGCCGCTCTAGGGACTAATGAATCGAAGAGGTTGTGCGGGAAATGGATCAGGACTTTGGGAAGAAAGCACGCGCCACAGTTCCTAGTGCAAGTTGCACGGGGATACGTTTCTCTGGGGGTGGGGGGGGGAGCGGGGATGGGAAAGTAACGAGGTTCCAGCCGGGTGTAGAGCGGTGCCAACCAGCCAGCCCTGGGGAGCCCAGTGGGTGCCCGGCTGGATGCCACGGGTATGAGCCGGGGGTTACAGCCTAATTGCTGGATGCATTGAGATGTATTTGGGGACTTGGAAGTGCAGGGCATATGGCAGATGTGGGAAATGCTGGATCGTTTATAGCTGCAGGTAATTCATTTAAATTTCATTCATTTTTTATGGAGGCCAGGGAAGAGCGTCAGCTGACAAGCGGTTGCAAAGGAGGATTTCGGGCGAGAACTGGGGTCTGTCTGCTCGTTTGCAAACTGTTGAATAATACCTTGGAAGGCTCCAGGCGTTATTCGTGGGGGAGATGTTTATTGCTATGACAAACTCTGCCCGAGCACCCACGCGCCCGCACTGCACATGTCCCCGCGTCGGGCAGAGGAAAACTCAGCACGCTTTGGCCCAGGAGGAAACTATTCTTACGAACTGTCACTTGCTGGCTCCAGTTGCCACCGGCCTCCACTTCCCTGGCTGGACGTGCCAGGGTTCCATAGGAGCCCACTGCTGCTGGGGCTTGCCCCAGGGCAATCGTGGTCACCACGAAACCGACAGCACCCCAAGGCCGCTGCCGCGCAACCGACGCGATGCCAGCGGGCACTTCCCGGGGTTGGCGATCCCTGCGTGGCGCGCACACGTGGACGCGGTCGCCCTGCTCCGGCCACCTGAGGCCCTCGGTACCGAGACTGGGCGGCTCCACGGACTCTATGCGGGTGGGCAGAAATCGGTGGAGGCAAAGCAAACCCACGCCACTCGCTCTTCCTAGCCTCATATTGTTCTTGCTTGCTCACGAGGTGCTGGGAAGTTGCAGCGAGCGTGGGCGTGGGCTCTGCAGGAGCGCCCGGGCCACGCTGGAGGGGTGCAGTGCCCAGGCCTGGCCAGGCACGGTGGGGGTGAGAAATAAGTGACTTTGGGGGCATGGAGATGGGGGGCGGCAGGTGGAGCTATCTCTGGGACTGGGTTTCACCTTTCGCCTTTGGGACTTAGCCAGGCAGCAGCTCCAGCCACCTGCTCGGGCAGGAGGCGGGCGTGGTGGCACTGGATAGGGGCACTGGGAGGAGGCGCCGCGGGGGCCCGGGCTCCTGCCCCAAGGTCCTGGCTGTCCCCCGCGGGGCGGGGCTGCGCTGCAGGTTCCATGCCTCTCCCAGGTAGCCCAGAGGGGAGGCGGCCGGGAGGGGCGGGAGCCTTGAACCTGCCACAGGGGAAGAGAAACCCGGCTGTGGGCTCCGAGCCGTTTCTTGCAGGGCGAGCATCGACTCTGCCGGGATTATTAACCAGGTCAGCGAAATGAGTCTGAACCCCATTTCTAGAATCACGGTGGCGGCCACAAGGCACTTCCTCCCGTCCCCTCCCTCTTCCCAACCCTACTCCCTCCCACCCCCAACACCTCTTTTCTTTTTCGTTTCTTTGCACGGTTTGTTTCCTGGACAGAACGTAGTATTCATAGTTGTAGTCCTGTAACCACACCGGGTCTGGCAGGTGGGGGAGAGGAGTGCCCGCCTGGAGACTCTGAAAGCCCTCTGACTGTTCCCTCGGAGATCTTGTCAGCGCAGATAAGGGAAAAGTTATTTCAGAACCTTAGTAGAAATTAATCATGCTACTGGGGCAACAGAGACCGTGTCAAGCCAGCAACTCGCCTGCGGAGCTCCAAGTGGCCCCCGTGGGCAGCCAGCTGTTGGGGGACTGGGAGCCTGGATTTGCCCTACCGTCCCCCACCCCGGGGGGTGGGGAATGGCTTCAGGCCCGCAGAAGTCACACCCCACGTTCTTCCCCGCCACCTTGGTTTTGCACAGCTCAGCCTCTGTGCTTGGTCGGCCAGAGCCCCCACCCCCACCCCGAAGACGTGTGGAAGCATCATTTCCGAGAGCTGGAAAGTACCTTAGACATAGGACCCCAGCCCTGCTGCATAGGCGAGGAACTGAGGCCGTGAGAGACAGTAGAGGAAGTGATTCGTCCAAGTCACTAGGCAAGGTGGAGGCTGAACTAGAGCCGGCGGGCCCTTGGGCCTTCAGAACCAGGTCCTGAGGGATTCCTGTTTACCCTCCACTGTCCTGGACCGCCCCCTGTGGGCGGCTGCACGTACTGCTTGTGCCTAAGTTGCTAAGCTCAGTTTGGCTTATGGGGTTTCTTCTGATCCAAAGTGAATTTGACTTTAGTCTCTGCCCAGCTCCTGCTTTACAACAATGCGGTGGGATCGCTTTTTGTGTTTGTGTGGTTTATTGTGTTAATGTTAAAGAAAAACTCGTAATTACTATTGGGCACAAGTTGTTCAATGCTTCTTGTTCAAGGCATGAAACAGCAGTAGGCTCCTGTTTCACAGGATTGTCCCTATTATAAAGAAAAAATTATTTCATATTGTAGTTATTGTTTAGTGAGGTATGATAATTTTTTTCTAAGATGGTGCTAGTATTGAAATTTGTTTCGCAATGCAGCCTGGACCATCAGATGTTGCCCGTTAGGCTAGCAGCTATGAAGTCGGAGTTGTGGCTAGGCATTTTGGCTTAACCTGTAGGGCAGCATACATTTGTTAGTTTGGGGACACAAAGCTTCATATAAATATATGTATCCTTTTGAAAAAATAACAAATTACATGATGCTATTACTTTTTTTCAATGCTATCACTTTCTATCATTGCTCTTATTGGTCTCATTCTGATGGAATTGTCAATATTACAAGGAGAATTTTCAGTTAATATTCTAAGATGGTGTAGTTTTTTCCTACCCTAAGAAAAAGTCTAACTAAAGCTAAACTAAGGTGACACCCATCTGCTTAGTGGATGAGTAGTATACACTGAGTGTGGAGTTGCCTCAAAAGTCATCAAAAGTCTTCATTTTAGTCAACGAGGTAAAAGAAAAAGCTCTTCTGGAGACAGTGATGGGTTCTTTTTAAATGCATCGATTTCTTCAGGACGGGGAATCCCTCCGTTTTGAATGAGGCTCGTTTTCAGATATTTTGAACACCATTCAGTCAGAGGCAGAAAAAAAGCAAAAGTGCAAGTGAGGTTCTGACTGTCCGAGGGCCCTCATTGTTCAGCTCGCTACTCTGGAGATGGGGCACTGTAAACAAAAGGCTAGAGATTGGTCAGCCAGGCCCAGAGGTTTGCAAATTGGATATTCGTGTTATTTGCAAGATAGTTTGCTCTCTTTTGGTCTTATCTTGCCTTGTATTAAAAAGCCTTTCTCTTTGATTCTTCCAGTCTTCTCCTCTTTTATTTCGGGATGACTGTAGCTATGTGAGTGGGTGCAATACGTCTCAGATTTTTTTTTTTTCTGTTGCTGGAATGACGGCCCTATTGGAATAACATAATTGAGTTGTTTATGGTGTTGGAAAAATACTATTTAAACGAGGTGGTATGTGCCTAAGATTTTGAGTGTGTACTTATAGAAAGGACACAGGCACTTGTTCCTGTTCTTGTCCTCAGCATTAAGACTTCCTGAAGCCGTCCTTGGTTGGAAGGTTGCCAGATGTGTCACTTGTCACTGGTGGAACAGCGAGAGCAGGTTTAAACATGCAGAGGCATTGGCAAGTGCCAGATCCTTCACTGTATCTGTGGAGACCGACAACAGCAGAAGCAGTTTCTGATGCTAGAGCAACAGAGTGTGGGACACAACACCGTGGGGCGGGTTTTCAGAGTTGTGTCTCTATAACCTTTGCAAAGGTTATTGAGGGGCTCTGGGAGAAGGTCTGTAAGTCAATCACTTATGCCCTCTGGTCTCAGCCCTTTCCTACCCCCTTTCTTATTTCTGCAGCATTTACAGTAGCGACGAGGATGACGAGGAAATTGAAATGTGTGACCATGACTATGATGGGCTGCTTCCCAAGTCTGGAAAACGTCACTTGGGGAAAACTAGGTGGACCAGGGAAGAGGTAACAAATCACCTTATCAAAACATGGGGAGAAGGCGGTGGGTAGCATTGATGGAAAACAAGATTTCCGCTAAGTTACAGATGCTCCTTAGCAGGTGCTTTGGGGACCTGTACTAGCTTCCTGTGAAGCAGGACCCTCCCACCACTCCTCCAGTCGCCCTCTGGATTGTCCATTCTCACTCTTGGTAGTCTTTCGAATGTCCTCCTCCCACTTCATGTCTCCTCTGTGCTTCTGTCTGCCTGCCTACTTCTCCTTTAGTTCCACTAGTTCTTACTGCTTCTGGTTTACCCCTGAAGATGCCACCTCCTTGGTGAAGCCAGGTTGGATGTCTTTGCCTGTGGTCCCATGCTGTTGGTTACAAGTTGGCTTACCATTGCTGTGACCTGTCTGCCTCTCCTTTACACTGCAAGGGCCAAGTGTCTTTCATCTTCCTGTTCCCTGACGCCAAAATTCCTTGACACAAAGTAGACTATCGATCCATGTTCCCTTATTGAATTGCGAAGTCCCAAAACAAAGCAAACAAATGAAAAAAGCAAAACATTTGAAAGTTTTCTTGGTATAATGTTTCCATTTAACATTCTTCATGTATTTCGCAGAGCATCCGGTAATGGATGGAGTTGTATCTGCCTCCCAATTTTCTTGCTTAACAAGATTATCTAAAGCTTGATCTTTTGATCGGATAGGATAGGAAACCTAATTATTAACACATGATAAAAGCACTTTTAATGCTATCAAAACATTTGCAACTAGTTGTAGAGGATTTCTCCTTGGGGTAAATATTACTCTTTTTTCTGATACATTACACTTTACTTTGTTGAAATCAGAATGCTTGCAGGCAGGCCAGCAGGATTCCCTGAGAGTCTCATAGGAACAATATATTTGACCTGTTGAGGGGCACTTGAGTGGTCCTGAGGGATCTGGAAATTGTTTCATTAGCCCTGGTGTCCTAATACCTGTGGCATTGTTGGCCCAGGGACTTGCATTGTGTGTGAATGTTATTTTTGTAGAAACATGAGCAGGAAGACACTTGGGCCACTTGTGAACTGGTAGGACTGTGAACAATATGTGGGCTGGAAGAACCAATTGCTCACCAATTTTCAGTGTCTTTTGTGTGCTAATAGCTTTGGCCATACTAGACTTGCAAACACATTTATATAAAACTGAAATATTTTCCAACACTGCATGTACTTTCAAGTCTCATTAAGAAAGAAGACCTTCCATTTTGCTGTGAAGGAGGTTGAGTGCAATGTCAGCGATGTATTTCTTCCTTAAGATGCTCTCTGTTGCCTTAGTTAGATGTCTCCTGAACTGCACTTTTCTTTTACAAAGTATGAATCTTAGCAGTTACCATATATTAAACGATATACATGAAGCATCATGCTAAATATTTTCAATAATGATATCACGTGATTCCCAAGTAGCCATCTTGATATCAGCATTCCCATTTTATAGATTACAGTAGCACATTCCAGAAAGTTAAGACAACCTGCTCAAACTTCCACAGCTAATCAGATGAGATTGGGTGAGTTTAGGGTGGTATAGCCATAGACTTACACAATTAATTAACAACTGAGTTGAAGTGCAAAGTCTGGCCTGATTCTAAATTATTCAGCGCTCTCCGTCATTGTATTACATTCACAATTGCTCTATTTGGACATTCTTGAGAGGCTTTTTTTTTTGGTAGAGTGGATTATTGGGTTGGTTCCTTTATTGACTGTAATGAACAGAGTTATATAGTAAATGACTGATACCCAAGGATTACCTTTAAATGTCTTAGGATGAAAAACTAAAGAAGCTGGTGGAACAGAATGGAACAGATGACTGGAAAGTTATTGCCAATTATCTCCCGGTAAGTTAGTGATCTTTTTTTATCTTTATAAAATTGAAGTGCTTTCAAAGACTTAAATAAAATATTCTAAGAAAGATTCTTAAGGTGTTACACACAGTATAAGAAGTTGAGAATGAGATGCACCATTTATAATTTTTTTTATTATGCTGCATGTAATTGGAGTTTTAAAATAGATTATTACAGGGTTTTTGACAACAATTGCATCTTACAGTTTTATTAGGAGAGTTTAGCATTTTGATGGAAGGTGTTTAACACTAATATTGCCCCCATGTTGACTTCTTTTAAATTCCCTACTTTCATCAGTAGCCATACTTTGGGCATCCAGGTTTGAAATTTTAGAGCCCCTTTGACTTATTTCTGTCTTCTGTCCCCCACTCCGGGCAGCTGCTAAGCACCCTGTTCTTCCTTGGCAGGCCGTCCCTTCCCTTCCCTTTCCTCTCAGGGTTATGCCTTGGCTAGGTCTCCACCCTCTCTTGCATCTGGGCTATTCCAAGGGCTTCCTAAGCAGCTTCCTACTTCTGGCATCTCACTTTAACATCCGTTGGAGCACGTGTGGCCAGTGGAGCTTTCTGAAATGCAGAGCAATAGCAGTGGGGACTTTGAAACTCACAAATCAACTTCTTCAGCATGATGCTGGGACCCTTCCTTTGCAGCCCCCCTCTTGAAGCTCCAATTCTCTCTGCTATTTCCTCTGCAGGAGCAGCATGGGCTGCATTCATTTCTGCTTTGCCTCTAGGCTTTTGTTCTTGGCCATCCCACTTTCTAGAATGTTCTCCCTTTGCTTCACCAGTTGTAGTTCTATCCACCCTTTAAAGTCCCCTGTTTTTTTAGCTGTCATGTAAGGAAACAACTTTTCCAAAAGAGATCTCCTGTTTTCACAGTATTATTTTCATTGGTCTCTTCTTGCATGTAAATCAAGTCTAACTTTCAGTTAGGGTTAATGGTATATTTGTCTTTTTCTTCTTACAAGATGCCAAGCTTCTCTCGAGTAGCCTATATCTTTTATTCACCTCTATTCCTTCTACAGTACAAATATTTGTGGTCCTAAATTGGAGAATGTGTCTTAGTTTGAACAGGAGGCAACCAATAGTCGTTTAGAGTGGTGGGTTTCCGTAAAAACCTGGCCATATGGAATCCCTAACAATCCCTCTGGCCAAGTAAGTACTTCCGTGTGCAACAGTCTGAGGTGAAAGTAAAGCAACATGGACAAGCACGTGCGTACTATCGTGTTCCTTGAGATCATGTGGCAGGACTGCCCCTCAGGAAGCAAAGCTACTAGTTCCAGACGCAACGTTGATGCAGTTTATGCGTCTTGTTCTCCAACCTCAACAAAAGGAGGGGTGGCTGGGTCCTCCACACATGCCCTGGAGTGCTCTTTGCCATTCTCATTGTATATCGCCTGTGTGTGAGTCAGAGTACAGCAAAGTCGTCTTCAGGTGCTTGTCACATCCTGTCTTCATGACAGCGCGTCCTTTGTTTGTCTAGAATCGAACAGATGTGCAGTGCCAACACCGATGGCAGAAAGTGCTAAATCCTGAGCTCATCAAGGGCCCTTGGACCAAAGAAGAAGACCAGAGAGTAAGTGTCTTCTTCCTTGGTGTGTGAGCCACCATGAACAATATTCCCATAAACTCTTCCTTGAATATTTTCCAGCTGGAAGCAGCAGGTAAAGTATACAAGAGGAAGTAAGGGGGCTCTGTTTCCTTATTTGCAGTGAATGAAAGCAGATTTTTAGAATTTTTCTAAAGATCTTTTATAAGCGTGAAGAATGATGATCCTTACTCCTTACTCATTACCTAACATTAAAACCTAGGTTATTTTTGTGTGTTTATCTGAAGGTGATAGAGCTTGTACAGAAATACGGTCCGAAACGTTGGTCGGTTATTGCCAAGCACTTAAAAGGGAGAATTGGAAAACAATGTAGGGAGAGGTGGCATAACCACTTGAATCCAGAAGTTAAGAAAACCTCCTGGACAGAAGAGGAAGACAGAATTATTTACCAGGCACACAAGAGACTGGGGAACAGATGGGCAGAAATCGCAAAGCTACTGCCTGGACGGTAATAACATGTCGAAAAATCTATTGATTGGGAAGAATGAGGGAGTGGGTATTGCACATTCCTGTCTTACATGTATGCTGAATCAGTTACATTCTGTTACTGTGTCTCCTTAGATCAACCAGATGCATAACTTTTAGGACTGGAAGAGACCTTAAGATTGTTACCTGTTTCAGGTCTTCTGGGATCTGCCCCACACTCAGCCCTGGGTCAAGTCATTGAGGTTGGCTTAGCCTCAGTGTCCCCTATTTGCACAATGAATAATAATCTAATTAAAATTCAAGTGAAATGAATGTCGGAGTACTTTGTAAACCACGAAGCCACAAGCACATCGTTTGTCTCCTGTCTGGCTTCTACCAGCTGGACACGTGGTCGGCCACCATTTTGGGAACTCAGCTACTGTTTTCCTAAAACCTGTGTTCATTTCATTATACGGTGTGGCTTACTTTTTGTCCCCCTTTTGCGTAGAGAAGTGATATATTTCTGGAATTGTCATACCGATTCCAGGTTTTTAAATAATGTTGTATAGGGTTTTCTTTTTAACGAGCAAGGCAAATGGGAGATAGCCATGGAATCTGTGTCCCCGTTTGTCTACTTAAGCAGCATATAAATGATTTCCCATATGGATGATATTTTCTTGTTTTTTTACTTCAAAGCTTCCATTAAAAATAGTGTAAAAATATCAATGAGATTTCTGTTCTTCAGCTTTTTAATCCAAAAATGAAGATGATTGCAAAGACAGTTTATGTTGTGCTTTCTTGTGATATCTGAGGCATTTTGTCCCCATGGTTCCGTGGACAGCCTAGAAAGTTTGAGAGGTTGGCTAAAGGGAACCTTTTCTCCCTTACGGTCTCAGAGGATATTTGTTGATTCTCCTTAAAAATTAAAGGGGTGATTGAACTTCCTCTTTCTGTGGCATGCATTCCCCCACCCCCATGGAAATAGTAAAAAGGAGGCTAACCAACGGTTTTTTTTTTTTTTAATTGAGAAACTTTTCCTGAGAATGGAAGACTTTAGTAAAAATACTTTGCAGTTTTGAAAATATGTTGGGGGTTGGCGTCTTTCCCTTGGGGATCCCGTTTTCCATTCTCCCCTCTCTCTGATTGTAAAGAACATTTACAGAGGTTTTCATTCGACATTTTTATATCCAGAATTTCTCACGAGTGCGTTGAAAGCCGAAGTGTGAACACTGAGGCAGCGGTGTCGCCCATTCACCAGGCTTTTCCAGGTCCCCATGGTGGGGCGTAGATGCACCGAGGCCGGAGAGGAGTTTGCTAGGATAGCTGGAGCTTTAAACACAAGGTCAGAAGAAACACTCTTAGAAAGCTACACACTTCCCAGATAATGTACGTAACAGATTTCTGTAGATTTTAAACAAGTCAACAAGGAAAGTGTGGGAGGTAGAAAAGAGTAAGACAACGGAGAAGGGAAAAGAACTGTTAGTAGACCCAAAGGAAAGATCTCTGTTAGAAACAGTTTTCTGTCAGTTCACTGTAAGCTGAAGTTAAGGGTTTTTTTTTTTGTTGTTTGTACAAGTTGGATGTGATGTATTTCTGTGCAGAACTGATAACGCTATCAAGAACCACTGGAATTCTACAATGCGTCGGAAGGTCGAACAGGAAGGTTATCTGCAAGAGTCTTCCAAAGCCAGCCAGCCAACAGTGGCCACGAATTTCCAGAAGAGCAGTCACTTGATGGGCTTTGCTCACACTCCACCTTCCGCACAACTCCCTGCAGCGGGCCAGCCCTCGGTGAACAGCGACTATTCCTATTACCACATTTCTGAAGCACAAAACGTAAGCTACTCCCGAGAACTGAATGAGAGCAAGCTGGGTATTTCCGCGCCAGGTGATAATAACACCTGGTGCTTGTACACTTCTCGGGGAGCTTTCATGAATATGATCATGATTGCCCTTCACTTTCACCCTTTGAAGTGAGTGGGAGTAGGTGTTGTTATCCCTGACTGATGTGTCTAGAGAAGGGCAAGGTCACGGGTTTGTCCACGGTTACACAGGGAAGTACCATTGAGTAGAAAGCAAATTGTCCAATTCTGACTTGCTGCCTCCAATCTGACTGGAAGTTAGCTTTGGGGTGTCAAATTGCTTCAAGTTGTACTACAGAAGAAGGGGCAGGGAATAGAGAGACAATTTGGCACGCACTATCTTTGTTCAAACATGAAAAGTAAACTTAATATTCTACTTAAAGGAGAGATGATTTGGACGCTGAAATTCAGTGGCTAGCTCCAAGTTCATTTCCAGCTTTGACCTGGCAGAAATGTCTTCATTGATTCATTCAGTTGTTCACTTTCTTACTCTGAGTTGGGAACAGAACTCTGTGCTGTTGATGCTCTGCGCGAATTCTCAGTGCTTTCTTCTCTCGTTTCTAGATAGTCCTATTTAGAGAAAAACAATTCATAATGAGAAGAAAAGCCAAATAAAGGAAAAAGTATCCAGCAATGTTAATCTTAGAATTAGCAGTATGAATGATGAACCTTATCCAAGAACACAGATCAGATGAAAATCCTATGCAAAATGTATTCATAAACAGTTTTTACTCCTCTGTACCCGTTTCAAGCATTTGACTACAAGCTTTCCAGAAATGTCTCAGGTGAATTAATTCTCAGAAGAAGTTCCATGCTTCTTATTAAACCGCAGTTATTCCAAGTAACAAACTTTATTTACGAACTTCCAGTGCCATCAGTTTTTTCCAGTGCAACTTGTTGCATACATTCTCGACCGTGTTTTACAGTGTTGTGGTGTATTATTCTCCAATCAAGGGATCCTTTCTCCAGGGTTGCTGAGCATTGTGAATGTCCAGCATGACTTTGCTGTAACTGTGTAGCTGTTTATAAAGACCTGGCAAAGTTTTTTTTTTTCTTAATTGTTACATGAATTTTTCAAAGTCCTTTTTCCCCCCAGTCCCAGAATACCCCCATTCGCCCCTCCCTGCCTTGCCCTACCCCTGGAAGCACATGCAAGCAGGAATGACCCACCCTGTGTTCCGCCTGTTCTTTCTAGGTGCCCAGTCCTGTTCCGTATCCTGTAGCGTTACATGTAAATATAGTCAATGTCCCCCAGCCAGCCGCTGCAGCCATTCAGGTAAGAGCATCTCCCAGAGAAACTCAGAAGTCCCTCAGGGCTTCACTCTTCAAAGATATCTGCTTCCTTCTGCCTGTACACTTGCACTTGCTCAACTGCAATAGAGAAAAGCTGTGAGGGTGTGCCTCTGACTAATGGTTGGGCTGCCCATTGGAATGCATGCATCCTACGTCATAGTGCTTGGGTTTGATACCCAGCCCATGGACAGGTTCTGGCTTCTGGCCGGTGTGGAACGTGGGAAGCTACAGTGATAATTCAACTCATTGAGTTTCTGCCAACATTGAAAGTGCATCACTGGGCTCCCAGCTCTCAGTACAGGCCCAGCCCAGTCCCAGTTGTTGTAGGTGTCAGGAGAGTGGAGCAGCAGTTAGGATTGTGCGCTCTATGTGTGTGTGTGTGTGTGTGTCCGTCCCCCAAGATATACATTTTAAAAAAGAAGGAAGGAAAATGGAGTAGTGGAGAAGAAGGCAGAGTTCTGGCCAGCAAACTACCAGACTTAGCTTCTAGAATGAGTTTACTTGAAAGTTTCTGATTCTTTGATAGCGTAACTTCAACAACTCAAAGTCAGTATCTAGTCCACCCTCATATTTCCTGTCTCTTCCCGAAGTCTGAAATAAGGAAGCATTAAGATGTCTTAGTGATGGAACATGCTTGGCATTGGATTCACACTGAGGGCCATGGGTGCTTGGTGACAACTGACCATACAATCAGACTTTTGTCCTTTTCCCCTCAACCTGTACTTTCAGAGACACTATAACGATGAAGACCCCGAGAAAGAGAAGCGAATAAAGGAATTGGAGTTGCTCCTCATGTCAACTGAGAATGAGCTCAAAGGACAGCAGGCGCTACCGGTGAGTGTCACCCTGAGCTCGGAGGGACGGATAGCATCTTCGCACCCCAGTGCTCCTCTGTCTCCTCCTTCTACTCTAGTAAATCCTGTCCTGCCCAAGGTGCTGCCCATTCCTTTCTAGTGTTTACACTGTAGAAGTTGCTGGAACGGGGAGAGGCTCAGCATAGTGGCACGGTGGCCACCACCTGCAGTGCTAGCAGTGCCCTTCAGAGCACAGGCCCTCTGATCCAGCCCCCTGCTGATGTACCTGGGAAAGCAATGGGGGAGGATGGCCTGAGAATTTAGGTTTATTTGGCAGAACCAGATGGAGTGCCTGACTCCTGACTTAAGGCCAAGACCAGCCCTGGCCATTGTGACCATTTAAGGAGTGAAGTCAGCAGATGGAAAATCTTTTATTTTCTGCCACCGTCTTTCAAATAAATACATAAATCATTTAAAAAGAAAATATAAGAATAAAATACATTTGGCATTAGAACATATATTGACCAAACTGCAAATAGTACTTTATTTTCCCCCTCTAATTGCAATAGAAACACAATATTCACTTGCGATTGTCATTATCATTAAATTTTTCCAGGCATTTCCAAGGCTAGCAAAGATAAAAGGAATGAAAATCTGCATTCTCAAGAAGTCTCTGTAACTCTGTGGGGGCGGATGCGGTTGTTTTTCTTTATTATTGCCTTAACCTATATTTTTACATATTATCATTTCAGACATGAGTTGATACATGCTCGGCACCTACCTGTAAAAAAGGTGTCTGTAAAATCCTGACAGTCGTGAATTTAGCTTCTCTCTTGTTCGAATGCATGAAAGCTCTGTGAGTGCCTGGCCAAGTTCTGGCATCCTTTCCAACTGCCTGGGAAGCAGCCTGAGAAAGCCCCTCATAGTTTGAAATCTACAGGAGAGAACTAAGGAAAATTGTGGAAAATGGCATTCAAAGATCACGTTTTGTTTTTGTTTTTGGTGCCCTTGATCTCAATTTTTTAAATCCATAGGTACAAAAGGTCTTCCAAATATTCATAGAAAAATACATATTATGGAGAAGCTATGCCTCCATTTTGAAAATGTGGGGGCCTCAAAATGAGCTTATCTTTTAAATTCCATTTTTTCTTTACATTTTAAAAAAAGATTTATTTATTTTCAGTGGAAAGTCAGATGTACAGAGAGGAGGAATGACAGAGAAGATGGTCTTCCATCTGCAAATTCACTCCCCAAGTGGCCACAATGGCTGGGCATGAGTTGATCCGAAGCCAGGAGCCTGGAGCCTCCTCTGGGGATTCCACACGGGTGCAGGGTTCCAAGCCCTTGGGCTGTCCTCGACTGCCTTCCCAGGCCACAAGAAGGGAGCTGGATAAGAATCTGGGCCACTGGGATTAGAACAGGGGCCCGAATGGGATCCTGGCACATGCAAGGCGAAAACTTTAGCCATTAGGCTACTGTGCTGGTCAACCACTTTTTCACTTTGGTGTTTTGCAATTTGTCCTGTTGCATGCTCATGCCCTGTGGAGATTTCTGTTAATGCCCATCTGCTTTCCTAACCTTGTTGATTTGTTAGCACTGTACTGCATCGGTACCACCTGTAGCATCAGGAAGAGTTGTGTACAGATCAAAGCAGCTCTGGAATCCTCAGGCCCTTTGTATTTTAGAATGCAAATAGAGCAAGTCTTCACTCTGAGCCATCATTTCTTGACCTCTTTCGATGACATTGAACAGACATCCAGGCAGGCAGGATGAGAACTGTACTTCATAATATAGTTCCATGATATGAAAATTTCAGCAAAAATGATGACAAGACAGGCATGGAGGTGTGACCTGTGGCACTATTAGAAAGCAGGCTCTTGCCTTGATAAAAAGGAAACATCTTGACAACTGTTTCGGAGGCATAAGTTTTGGATGGTGCAACTCCTTTTATCTTTCCTGCAACAGCATCTGATACCTTGTGCAACATCATTGCTAAGTTCCTTCTCTCTTTCTGCTCCCCATTCTTTCTTATTTCCACACTCCCCTTTCCTCAGACACAGAACCACACGTGCAGCTACGCTGGGTGGCACAGCACCTCCATTGCCGACCACAGCAGACCCCACGGGGACAGTGCACCTGTTTCCTGTTTGGGAGAACACCACTCTACTCCTTCGCTGCCAGTGGATCCCAGCTCCCTACCTGAAGAAAGCGCCTCGCCAGCGAGGTGCATGATCGTCCACCAGGGCACCATTCTGGACAATGTTAAGAACCTCTTAGAATTTGCAGAAACACTCCAGTTCATAGATTCTGTAAGTAGAGCGGTTCAAGCAAGTTACTATTTCTGGAAGGGGAATTAGGGGAAAAAAAAAAAACCTGTTTCTGAGCTCACCACCATTTTCTGTAGCAAATACAAGTATGTTGGCAGCACAGGTGCATGTAAAAGTACAAGGATGATTTTGTCCCAGTGAATCTGTTTTTGTTTGTTTGTTTGTTTTTCAGTGATCAGACTGCATAGGTTACACCAACAAATGGAAGTTTTCCCACTCTTTCTCCACAGAGCCTATATTTAAAACTAGTGAACTCTATGAACATATAAAGGAAAACTTGGGTTGTGGAATAGTGTCTGAGTTACTCTTAACTCTCAATTTTTTTTTTAAAGATTTATTTTTATTATTTTTTCATTGGAAAGGCGGACATACAGAGAGGAGAGACAGAGAGGAAGATCTTCCGTCCGATGATTCACTCCCCAAGTGAGAGCAACGGCTGATACTATGCCGATCCGAAGCCAGGAGCCTCTTGCGGGTCTCCCACGCGGGTGCAGGGTCCCAAAGCTTTGGGCCGTCCTCGACTGCTTTCCCGGGCCACAGGCAGGGAGCTGGAAAGGAAGCGGGGCTGCCGGGATTAGAACCGGCGCCCATATGGGATCCCGGGCGTGCTAGGCGAGGACCTTAACCACTTGCGCCACCACGCCGGGCCCATTAACTCTCAATTTTTAAAAACGTATTTCCTCCTGCTTCTCCAGGATTTTGCTTTGTTTTTGGATTGGACAGTAAGAATTATGTTTTACTCGGCACTTAAGGTCTTTTGGTGTGTTCGAAGTTCACTGTGTGTGTATCCGTTCACTGGCAGTGGTGCTTGACTCCAGAAAACATGACTTTAGCAGACCAGTGTGTGTTTCAACTGAGCGCGACCACGCTCGTATCAGTTCAGCACCTCCCCAGCAGACAATTCATTCCCTTGCTCCCAAGTCAGTGCAAAACGCATTTATTGCATGCCCATTGGACAGTAGATGAATATGGCTAGGATGTGCCCTCCAGAAAAGGGCCCCTGAGTTGAGCACTGGAGAAATGGGAGGTGCCTGAGGCTGGACAACAGGGCCGACCCTAAGGTAACATCATTGACAACCGTCCTGCCAACTTTTCACTCCCACGGCCAACAGGAAGGCATTTTCTTTGCAAGTAGCCTGCTCTCTCAGTGCTGTGTTGCAGGCAATGAGAGCAACCGTCACGCACACACTGTCTCAAAGTTCTGTGCCTCCCACATTGTTTCAGGATTCTTCATCATGGTGTGATCTCAGCCGTTCTGAATTCTTTGAAGAAGCAGCCTTTCCACCTAGCCCACAGCACGCAGGCAAAGTGCTGCAGCCTCAACCGAGAGAGGGGCCTGGCAGTAGACCTGCAGGAGAGAGGGTGAACAGACGCATGTTGAGCCAGGGGCCGCTTGAGCCACCCAAGGCCTCGCCTCCTGCAAGGCCCAGCACAGTCCCACTGGTCATCCTCCGGAAAAAGCGCGGCCAGGCCGGCTCCGGGCCTAGTGGAGATGCTAGCTCCTTGCCGCTTGCTGACATCAGCAGTTCACCTCCCAAGCCTTCCCCTGTCAAAAGCCTCCCCTTCTCCCCCTCGCAGGTAGAGCACAATTTCTGTACAGCTGTTATTGATTTTCAACAAGCTACCTGAACCTTAATAATCTAGAAACTAATCCCTTGGAACAAATGACTAATGCCATTGCCCTCGCTGATTTTAGTCTGTCATGGGATCGAGCCATCACTCAGTCGTTTGGCCTCCCAGAGTTTAGGCTGCATGTGGACTGGCTGATGGTTTTGTCCTCATTCTCTGATTTTGTTTGTTGGTTTGTTTGTTTTACTCTGTGGGTATTTTGGAAGGTAGTCGGTTGCATGGGATGCGCTTTCATTTCCATCACCACTAGACTTTAACATGCTTGTCCCTTGCTCTTCTCTCTTCTGATCCCTTCCTATGACAATTTTAACATATTTTCTGCCTGTTTCTTCATTTATGATGTGATTCACTGACCCAAGAAAGGAAGGAAGGAACCAAACTGTGTTTATATAACACTTACGATGCAATTAGAAAATGTAAAAGTTCCAGTCCATCTTTAAGCAAAAATGTTTAGGAACTGAAGAAAAATCATTTTTTTTAATTTTAATTTTTTTCAACTTGGATTTTAAAAAAAAAATTGTGCTGTAGTTTTCTAGAATAGTTTTTACCACTCAATATTCTTGTTTCATGGAGTTTTTTTTTTTTTTTCTGTAAAGGCATGGGAATTATAACTCTCCACGTACACCTGCTACTAAAATAAATGAGCTTAACAGATCATTTTAATCTGGCAAGCATTTTTCCCTACCCTATCAACTGCCTTTGAGAATAGCTTTACATGGATATAGGTGATGCCCTCACCAAAATAAACGAATTTTGTTTTTTGCCTATGTTTTTTAAACGTGTTCTGCAAGTATTTGTTCAGTGTTCTGAATCCGTAGGTGTGTGCGTTTGGGAAATAAGGCATCAAACGTAGCTGAACATGGTCTCTTGCCTGGCAAGCCCTGGGGGTTGTAACATGCTGCTGGGCGCAGTGAGAGTCCAGGCTGAGCAAGACATCCGCTGGGCTTTCCTCACTCACCTGACTATGGACTTATTTCAGGAAAACCTATTTTTTTTCCTTCCAGAACTTTAGTATTCTGAGCAATATCATTTATTATTCAAGAACTTTGCACATAATATCAGCCTGCTGGAACCATAGTTTTGGTTTAACAGATTATTCAAGAGAGAAACCAGAATGTGAAAGAAGCATAATTTCCAAACAAAACACTTGAAAAATGAATGAAGAGTATATTTTTCATTCTCCTTAGTGGCAGATGGCATTTATTGAAAGTATTTTCTTGGGATTTTGCCAGTTTTTCAGCATTGTTCCTCATTTCCTTACTTGGAAGTCACACTTGACTAAAATAAAACAATATTCTAGCCACTAAATGTTTTTTAACATCTTTATTATATTGTGGGTCAGTAAAACATATTGAATATTTTTCCAGCTGTGACTTTTAAATTGGCCTGACTAAAAGAAATCACTATTTAATATAAGTGTTTTTTCCCCCCCACGTTTAGTTCTTAAACACTTCCAGTAACCATGAAAACCTAGACTTGGAAATGCCTTCTTTAACCTCGACCCCTCTCAGTGGTCACAAGTTGACTGTTACAACACCATTTCCTAGAGAACAGACTGTGAAAACACAAAAGGAGAATACTATGTAAGTCCTTGCTTCAAAAAGCAGATGAATTGTTTGCTTATATGTAATGAACGCAATGCCATTTCTATCTGTCAGATCCATTGCTACATGTATAATGTGACTGATTCACTTGTATATAATTGTGTATGTTTCCAAATTGAAAATGTCTGTCCTGGGCTTGTCACAACTGCCTGGAGGTCAAAAGCGTGGGGCTCACTTGAAGTATGTGTCAGCCCTCACTCTGACTTTTCCTATATACAAAAAGCTGATTTTCCTAGAACTTTTGTATCCTGTTTATCTGCTTGTTCATTAAAGACTTTTCATGTCACTGAAAAAAAGATTTTTCAGTCTCCTTTCCTGTCTCATTCTAAACTTGAGAACCAGGATGAGTATATATATATATATATATATATATATATATATATATATATTTAAATATATATATAGTTTATTGGCAAATGAGTGTTTGAGAGATTGGTCATATATATATATATATATATATATATATATATATTAGGTTTTCTTTTGACATCTCCAGAAATATATGATTAGAAGCCAAGAAGTGGCTCAGCAATCTTTTTTATTTGTTAAAGGCAGCCAATTCAAAGAAATGATAGAGAAAGTCAATGTAACTTCTAAGAAACTTTTGAAAAAAAACCACTCTCGTGTATTTCCCAGTACAAAAAGTAAATCTTCAAAGGTTGGCATATTTTATCATGTGGACCCTGTTTTAACAAAAAGTTAGCATTGATTTGTTGTTAAAAAAAGAAAAAAAAACTGTCCACAGGATTTATGGTCATTATACAAACCTGTGGATGCTACATGACGAACCCTTGAGATGAAAAATGCTTTTATACTCTTTGTTTAGGGGTATGCTATTATGAAATCTTTGTATATATATATATATAATTGTTTAATACATTATATATATATATAATCTGTTTCTGAACAAGTATCTATGATTGATCAACATGCCCAATTCCATATCAATATCAGTGCATATTCAGTGAAAAAATATGAGACTTAATAGGTAGAATAATGAAACAGGGACTTGTCCATTTATTTGAGTGTTTATGTTTTCTTTTTGAAAGTTTTAGAACTCCAGCGATCAAAAGGTCAATCCTGGAAAGCTCCCCAAGAACGCCTACACCATTCAAGCATGCACTTGCAGCTCAAGAAATCAAATATGGTCCCCTGAAGATGCTAGTAAGTGCTCAAGACCAGCTTGGTGTCAGCTGGAGGATTCCAGTGGCTGGGCATTTCCCTCTGATGAACCACCCCCACCCTTCTTTCCTTCAGCCTCAGACACCCTCTCATCTCGTAGAAGACCTGCAAGATGTGATCAAACAGGAGTCTGATGAGTCTGGAATTGTGGCTGAATTTCCAGAAAATGGTCCTCCTCTGCTGAAGAAAATCAAACAAGAGGTAAGCACGAGGCCTTTGGCAGGGACAGGCTGTGTCCTGCAGCTCAGTGTCCCTGGCAGCAGTGCTTGTGTGAAGAACACTTGCCATCCAATGGTTTCACAGGACATTCAGGATAAAGTACAGCCAGATGGGACACACTGGATCTTTACTTTGGAAAGCCCAGTCCCTGTCTGCTTGAACAGAAGACATGTTACAAAGGATTAAGCAATGGGAAGGAAACATCTTTTTACTTTATTTTTTTTTTCATTACTTATGTTAGATAGAAGATAGATCCTTCATTCTGGATACCATAGGGAATTGGAATTACTTTTCAATCAGAGTGTGAAAGCGAATCTAATCTGCAAGGATCACAGCTTTAGTTTATTGGCAGATGAGTGTTTGAGAGATTGGTCAGGAATGTGCACTTGGGAGTCAGTGTTTCTGGGAAGTTCAGGTTTTACAGATAACAAATCACTTCTTGTTTGTTTTCAGGTGGAGTCTCCTACCGATAAGGCAGGAAACTTCTTCTGCTCCAACCACTGGGAAGGGGACAATCTAAATACTCAGCTGTTCCCTCAGGCATCACCTGTGGCAGATGCACCTGTAAGTACAGCCCAAGTCCCAGAGTTACAGAGAGAGAGAGAGAGAGAGAAGCCAAGATAGGAAAATCTTCCACCCACTGATTCAAACCTCCAGTGGCCCTCAGTGGCCATGGCTGGGCAGGGCTGAAACCAGGAACTAGAAGCTCCCATGTGAGTGCAGGGACCCAAGTAATTGGGCCATTTTCAGCTGCATTCCCAGGTACATTAGCAGGGAGCTGGATCAGAAGTGGAGCAACCAGGGCTGGAATGGGCACCCATATGGGATACTGAGGCTGCAGGCAGTGAGTTACGCCACCATGCCACAGTGTCAGCACCAGCACTCACTTGTTAAACCATCTTATTTCTGAAGAGTCTCTCTTACATGGCTCTTACTATAGTAGAATATAGAACTGAGAGTTTAAATACCAAAATTTTCATGGTTTGTTTTCCTATGATTTATGTCTGTGCTGCTTAAAAAAATCTGCATGGGCATTTCTGTGATAATAGGAAGTTAATTTTTGCATTTTCCTTTCATTTATCTGTCTTCTGAAGGAAGTATTTCTTTTCCTATTTAGTTGTCTATTGTTTGGTTTCATGTAGAACCTGGCATTGTTTCAACCAGGGAATTCTAGGGTAAATACCCAGGATTATACCCCATAGTGCATTGCATCACTTCTCATAACTTTTAGAGTTTGTGATGTGTGAATGCTTGCAGACTGTGAGCTAATCAAATTGCTAATATTTGCTCTGTGGGGACCGAGTGTTTAGTCGTGTTGTTAAGGGTTTAGATGAATTAATCCATTTAATCCTAGCAGTAACCCTTGGGTCACTTCATCATTTCCATTATACCAACTGGGCAGCTGAGACACAGGGAGACTTTGGTATTTGTGTGAGATCACACACCTTAGTAAATACCTGTGCTGGGTTGGAACTGAAAATCTGGTTCTGAATTTTGTGCTTTTCACCATTTTACTAAACTGCTGTTAATCTGTATCTCTAGGATAGTTCTGTACCCGTATCTGAGATAAAATATTCTCTTCCTAGTGCCCAGTAAATCGCTTATTTTTAAGTGCAAGTATTTCTGAGTTCATTTAGCAATTGTTTGAATGTCTGTTATTCACATGCTTAGAAGTATGTGAGATGAGAGTTTTCAATTCTGATGATTTTTACCACATTGGGATTAGGGTTAGTTCCTAGTTGAGTTCTCCTTCTCACCCATGGGAAAGAGCATCTCTGGCAGATGCCTGTACTCTTCATGCCAGTGTGTGTCATCTGATAGTGACCTCCTGTCTACGGTGTGAACGTTGTGTTGGTTCTCATGTTATCTAATCACCTTTATTCCACATTGTTCTCCATCTTTTTAGAATATTCTTACAAGTTCCGTTTTAATGACACCAGTATCAGAGGATGAAGACAATGTTCTCAAAGCATTTACAGTACCTAAAAATAGGACCCTGGCCAGTCCCTTACAGGTAATGACAAGTCCAGCATTGGTTTCTTCTTTTTTTTTTTTCCAGCATTGTTTTCTAAAGATCCACTTACTAAAAAGCTGTTATCCTTCTTTCACATTGTATAACTCATGTTAGGAAGTATTCCTAAGAGGCAGAGAAATAGAGACAAAGTTCCCCGTTGTTGGTTCACTCCTCAGTTAACTGGGCTAAGACTGAAGCTGGGAGATGGAACTCGATCTAAATCTGTCATGGAGAGGCAGAAGTCCAAATACGTGAGCCGTCACTGCTGCCCCTTGGTGTCTACATTGGCAGCTTGAGTCAGGATTCACACACACACACTCCAGTGTGACTCATGATATCCTAACCAGTAGGCCCAATCCTGGATTTTTTGCTTAAAATTTTAGATGTAGAGGAATAGTGTCTTTAGGTAACTTTTTGTGATTTAAAATACCCTGTTTATTGCTACTCATGTGAGACATGATGGACATTTTTGAGAACAAGTGCCCAAAGTATGATGTAAGAAAACAATTCTTACTGTGGCAGGACTAAAATATATATGACATGCATATCTCCTTATTTTAAATATTTTTAAAAGCTTACTTTCTGGGTTTCCTGTTGTGATACAGTATATTAAGCTGCTGCTTGTAATCCTGGTTCAAGTCTTGGCTGTTCCACTTCCCATCTAGCTTCCTGCTTAGGCTCCCAGAAAGACAGCCAAGGATGGTCCAAGTACTTCAGACCGTTCCGTAAATATGGGAGACCCAAACAGAGTTCCAGTCTCCCAACTTCCACCTGCTGGCCCAGGCCTGGCTCTTGTAACCATGTGGGGAATGAACCAGCAGGTGTGCATTCTCTTTGTTTCTCTCTCTCTCTCCCTGTTGTCCTGCCTTTCAAACAAATAAGATAATTTTTTTAAGTTTACTTTTTGTTGCAAATTAAAAAAAAAATTTTTTTAATGCCCAGAGATTGCTTAGCTTTGAAATTAGCTAATCAGAGAAAAATTGCAATTTTTTTGGCTATTGGGATAAGTCAGCTCTGAAGGCTGTATGGCTAATCAGTGGCTAACCACCTGCTGACAGGCTTTAATATCAAAAGAAATTTCCCTTGTAACCCTGAAGAGGGTGTGTGTATTGGTGAAATACAACAAATTCCAAATTAATCCTGAGCCAAATGTAAATAAGAATGCAAATTTTATCCTTCAAGTTATTTAAAGCAGTTCCCAACACTAAATAACCTAAGACCCAGCCACCTGGAGGCCTCCTTCCCCAACCTCTTGACTCTCGTACTATATGAACCATGGAGCAGGTGAATAGCTTGGATTCAGAAATGTGGAATCACATGTGATCATGTTAAAGGAGTCACAATAGAGTGGCACAGTAGTTCAGGCATCGTTTGGGGTGCCTGTTTCTGTTTCAAAGTGCCAGGTCTGCTTCTCATTCCTGCTTCCTGCTGATGCCTGGCAAGCAGCTGATGCTACTCTAGTGTTTGGGTCCCTGGCATCCACATGGGAGATCCAGATTGAAGTCTAGCCTCTGGGCTTCATCCTGGCCCAGCCCTGGCTGTTATGGTATTTAAGGAATGAACTAGGGGAATTAAGATCTCTGTCTGTCTCTCCTCATTTCAGATTAAAAACTAACAATAATGTCTCTCCTCATTTCAGATTAAAAACTAACAATAATAATAAAAATAATAGCGGCACTGTGAGAGGGCAGTAGGCTTTGAAAACTTGCCCATTCCTTTAAGGACTTCCCCTCACTGTCGTATGCCTTCTCATTGCACAATGTGAGAATCTGAAAGCCTCCCTTTTCAGTATGTGAGATACTTAGTGCAAAAGCAGCTGGAAGGGTTTGTTAGTTTACTTGTTAGTTTACTCAGATCCTTCCCCTGTGGCCTCTCGGCTCTCAGCTCAGCTGCTTGAGGCTCAAGTGTGGTAGAGGGAACTGTCAGCACTGCTGGATGATCAGAAGCCTGGACAGCTTCCACGTGAAGACCCACAGGAGCACAAAGGACTGGGACAGGAGGAAGAGAGTGAATTCCACTAAGTATGAGAGTGAAACAGAAGAGAAATTAGAAAGATTGTCCATGCAAGGGGCAGCCATTTCAAATTCTTCCTAGAGTCTGTGGTGGGTGTCACTGCGTAGTGAACTGAGCTAATACACTTAGGACATCCTCATCCCTCGTCACAGTGCTGGTTCCATCTGAACAGCTCCGCTTCAAATCCAGCTCCCTGTTTATGCATCTGGGAGGTAATAGGTAATGGCCCAGCCACGTGGGAGTCCCAGATGGAGCTCAGGTCTCTTGGCTTCAGCCTGGCTCAGCTCCTGCTGTTACAGGCATTTGGAAAGTGAAGCAGCGGGTGGAAAACTCTCTCTCTCTCTCTGTCTGTTTCATTTCACCCCCTGCAAAAGCCCTGTGTGTGTCCAACTCTGCTTTTCAAGTATATGAAAATAAATAAGCATTAAAATTGTTACCCGTGGTTGATCCTGAGTGCAGAAGGGAGGCACTTTCTTTATGTTTATTTCTTTCCCTCATGAATTGCTTGGCCCCTGGTTTCCAGGTCATGGAGTTGGATTGGCATTATGACCACTTTACACTAGCCCATGTCTGACATAGATTGTGGAGCTCAACCTGGGACTCAGCCTGCCTTTATAGCAGTATTGAAAAACTTGGTTCTAATTTTCAAAGAGCAAACATATAAACAAATTTGGGAACAATTATCATTTTATAAGTTGAAAACCAGTTGAATCTATTAGCTTTTGGCCTAACCAAATAGTGTTTAGACAAAACTGTTTACAACTGAACATGGTACTGAACTAAATGCATATTGTATAAAAGTTGGCCAGAATGTCAATATCTATGAAAAACAGCATGTCTAGGATTTTACCACAAGTAGTTTAATGCTTCTCAAGTTTTAAAAAATTATTTGTATGGAACTCTATCAATATATACATCTATTTGATGGAAATATTTGTTCAAAATTTTTAAGTTAAGAGATAGCTCTATTTTATTCATTTGTGTTTTTTTTATTCTACCAATGAGTCATATTTGGCAGTACATTTTAGACAAAGAAATTATTCTTTTTTGGAGGCTCGCCTACCGGCCTTTGTGGTTTTACTTCTAATGTGTAAATTCATGCACACACCTCTGCATAAGTATAGTCAAATTTAGGTTGATATTTTAAAGTTAGAAATACAAGAATCTATGAGTTTAACATTTAACTAAGATAACTTTCCAACATATGTAGAGGTAAACAAAAAAAAATACAGTGTTCTCCTTTAATAATTATTAACATTTTACACTCCCCTTTTTGTGCAAAGTAATGAAATTTCAGACACTATAGCTATATTATTATATACTTTTCAGGTACATCTCAAAAATTGACTTTTTCCAATGTAAGCAAATACTGGATACTCTAATGTCCAGGATACATTTATTTAACTGTTCCCATTCATCTAAAAATGATCATTTTATCATGTGCTTGTTTAGTTACTTGGTTGAGTCTTTTAACCTCCAACCCAGGAGAGTCCATTTGAAATTCTGTGATGATGGAAATCTGCAGAATGACAGCTGCTGGTCAGAAATGACTTTTGAGCACTGTAGCTGGTGATACAGAACACAATATTCAGTTCTTATCTAGGTTGTTTTAATTTTTAAAGATTTATTTATTTGAAAGGCAGAGTTACAGAGAGACCAGGAGAGACAGAGTGACATTTTCCATCCACTTGTTTTACTCCCCAAATGGCCATAATGGTCAGGATTGACCCAGGAACAAAGAGCTTCATCCAGGTCTCCCGTATGGGTGCAGGGACCCAAGCCAGTCTCCACTGCTTTCCCAGGCACATTGGCAAGGAGCTAGATTGGAAGTGGAACAGCTGGGACTCCATACCTCCTACAGGAGGTGACTTAAACCCACAGCAGCATTCCCAAGTTTAACTGAAAAGTTCATTTCCTCTCCTTACTCACTTCTTGGAATTAGCCATTTCCCCCAAGGAGCATTGAATCCTTCTGGTAGGAAAAAAATGTTTGGAAACCAAAGTCAGGATGCCAAGGGTACCCTTATTTCATAGGTTGTTACTGAGATACAGTGAATTTTTTTTTAAAGATTTATTTTTATTATTTTGTTTATTGGAAAGGCGGATATACAGAGAGGAGAGACAGAGAGGAAGATCTTCCGTCCGATGATTCACTCCCTAAGTGAGCGCAACGGCTGATACTATGCCGATCCGATCCGAAGTCAGGAGCCTCTTCTGGGTCTCCCACGCGGGTGCAGGGTCCCAAAGCTTTGGGCGGTCCTCGACTGCTTTCCCGGGCCACAGGCAGGGAGCTGGATGGGAAGCGGGGCTGCTGGGATAGAACCGGCGCCCATATGGGATCCTGGGCGTCGAAGGCGAGGACCTTAACCACTTGCGCCACCGCGCCGGGCCCAATACAGTGAATTTTAACTGAGAATTTTCAATATATATTCAAACCTATAGTCTAGAAATAGCTTAAATTTATGTACCTTTAAGTCATATGCTCAATTATGTCATATTGTATTTTTAAATGATGTATGCTTAATCTTTTTCCCAAAGAAATGTGATCTTAAAATTCCTTTATCTTATTCTTTCTCCACTTCTTTAAACTGTCTTAATTTTAAGTTGTAGACACAACCAAGTTATTCTGGTAAGCAAACCTTTCTGAGACACTTTTTCCATTTACGTCTCTTGTGTGGCCCAAAAGATAGAAGATTCTCGCATTGTAGCATCATCCAGGCACTCGGCCTTTTCCCGGGATGTGGGACCCGGGATGAAGTCTAGAGACTTACAAAGTGATCACAATTAAGGAAATAGTCATAACATTTACCCTAGCCTGTTTCATTGCCGAAAGCACTAGGTTTTTAAAGAAATTAGTTATTTAAACATATTTATTTGGAAGGCGAAGAGACAAAGAGAGGGAATTCCTCCCAGGATCGCTCCCCAGATGCCTGCAGCCACAGGGCTGGCCTGCACCCAGGCCGGCAGCTGGAGACCTGAATCCAGGCCTGTCTCAGCGGTGGCAGCAACTGGGTTACCTGAGCCATCACCTGCCACCTCCCAAGCATTCATAGGAAGCTCGACCAGGTTTGGGATGGGAACCTGGGCACTCATATGGGTAGTGGGCACACTATGTGGTAGCTTAGTCACTGAGGCAAACGCCTGACCCTGGATTCTGCTTGTTCAGAAATCATCAAGAAAGACTGAGCCCAACACACTCACACACTCACACACGCACACACACTCACACACACACTCTCACCCACGCCTACCTCCCTCTGTGAGGGAAAAATCCTTGCCTGCTTTTCTCAGTCTGCTTTTATTTGGCTTTCTAGGGTAAAATAAATACATGATGCTAACAAACATTTCTCACAGTAGACATTTTTTATTGGTAGATCCAAAAACCATACTTTAGTTGTAAGCTTTCTAGAACTTCTCTATTTTTCTCTTAAATTATACTTTCCCTTTACTCCGGTTTAAAACTTGAGTCTAAAAGATGTGTTCATATGCTTCATGCTCACTCACTTTCCTCTTTTTTCTAACCACAGAATGACAGCCTTAAATTTTAATTTCCTGACTTGGCTTGTCATGGTCATGCTTTTTTTTTTTTTTTTTTAAAACAGTGAGCTTAATTTAAGCAAATTTCTCAAGCCATGATTACTTAAACACATTTGCACAGGATCAAAGAAGTGTAAAACGGCCTTTTGGTTTCGTGTGTTTGGGATTGCCCTTATCTTTGTATGATACGTTTATGAAATATTCAGTTTTTCACAAAATAAAGCCCACCCTTTTTGCATGGTAGGAATTGCTGAGCAGTGTAGCAGGCTTGCATGTGGTCAATGGAAGCTGAGTTCCAGGCCAGGTGAATTAAGTTGCTCTTGAGTAAATGAGGGACTGTGGCATAGCCTGTGCTCATCACAGAGGTTGCCAAGATCAGATGGATAGACGATTGCTTTCAGAGCTACACCCAGTCCCAGTCCTTAGAAACCAAAGGCCAAGAGACCTCCCAGGCGTCCCGGGCTCACACGGTGTGGTGTGTTGCTTACTCTAGCATGACATTCCCTGTGCCACTTTCGCAGAACTGTGTCACTGGGTCACCAGCAAACATAGCTGATTCGACTCAGTCCTTGAAATTGGGGGCGTCAGACCCGTGTTTCTCTGCTTCTCTGTACCGTGCATTGGCAGGTGCAGGCCCCTGTGACTGGGCACATGTGCAAAAGCCCTTTCTGCGCATTTCTTAATCTAGCATTTTGATCTTGCTCCCTGAATATCTCCACACTCATTTGGTTCTCCCTCTTGGTCACTTTTTTTTTTCTACTTACCAGGGCAAAATTTAGGTTTGCTGTCAGTAGTATTTTAGTGACCCGCTTTCAAGTGATAGTATATATTCAGCAGGTTTTCGCTGTATAAGTTTTGGGTTGAACTGAGAAACACTAACTGAGAAGGGAGGATCTGTTAAGCTCAGAAATGGAATATCCTGCCCCGGACACTACAAGACATTTTTTCATTTGTTTTGTTTGGTGACGCTTAGAATAAACACTCAGAGATAGAATCTTCCTGGGAGTGGAAAGGAGGGAGCAAAGAGAGAATTGCTTTAGAATAATTTGACACCTGTCTTCATCTTAATAGTCTGGAACTAATACGTGACCAAAGAAAGAGTTTGCTTTTGCAAAATATTGTGGCGCCCTAGGCTGCGTGATATAAAGTGTTGGAAAGTCTGGAAGTATGTAGATGATGAGCTCTTCAGAGACATCTGAGGCAGAACCCAAGTTCAAGAAGGGTTCATCCATGTTGGCAACTTAACTGAGGCTTGGGGAGGGGGAAGCGCTGGTGGATGAGGTGACTTTCAGCCATCCCATACCTTGCCCGCATATACACCTTTCGTTTTTAAAACTTGCCTGTGAAAAGTTAGCAGCCCCAAAGCTGGAAGCAATTGGTTGACTTGTGCCCCCACAGGGGAGCATTTGCTATTGAGAAAGGTTTGATAACCAATAACCTTACCTTAGTAGTATTTCCTTTCAAGTTCATCACTGACTTCTAAGCTGACTGTTGGGGAAGGCTTTCTGGCTTAATATTTTCCCCAAGAGGTGTTTTCTTCAAATAGGTCCAATAGAATAATGAGATAATTTTTATTGTTTACTGTTGGTGGCCATTCATATCTGCTTGTTACTTTAAAACAACTTAAAAACACAGTACCATCTCATGAATTACTTTGGTTTTCCAAAATCTGTTGTTTAAGGGCTTACACAAGTTTTTGATTAGGTCTGCAGATTTTGAAATGAAGACTTTGCCAAGACTTTTGGTGACAACAGATACTGTGTGAATTCACTCTACAAATATAAGAGTAGTTGTTCTACATGATAGAAATTCTATTCAGATTCTCAATATGAAGAGAATCAAATCTTGACAGAAAACCACCTGTGGACCTGGTCTTGTCTCATTTTATTTCTTCTGTCTTCTGGAAAGGATCTGTCTTTATATAAAGTGCTTTAGCAGGATATCCTAGTTAAGGCTTTGAAAGACAGTTTGCAGTTCACTCCTGCCCAGAGGCAATTAAAGGCACATTACAGAATAAGCAGGATGACTCCCAGGCCAGAGGAGGAGGATGTGTGGGTAGGATTACTAACGCTCAGGTGAATTAGGACGGAGTGACATGCCTGCCACAGCCCCACGGGTTGCTAACTGAACAAAAGTTTGGGTGCAGAAACCAGTAATTCTGATTGTTTCTTTAGTGTAAATGCAACTAGCATTTGGAAAAAAATTAAAAAAAAAAAAACAAAAACGAGAAGAATGGCCAAAGAGGCATATGACAGTATTAGAGCATTTTCTTCCTGTACAACAGCATCTAATCCTCTTGTGTCAGAACTACTCTGTCTGCTTGAAAAGTTGGAAGGATGCCTCAGGGCTTCAGGGTGAGAAGGGAGAAGGGGACCTTTGGTTTCCTAGCTGAGTGTTCTAACTCCTCATCTTGCTGCACTCTGAGTAAGACTGCTGACTGCCTCCACTGTGGTACACAGGCCCGCTCTGTTCCGTCTCGCACCCACACTCGTGACCCTCCTGTGTCTGTACTGAGGCATGCAGTAGCTATGTACATGACCGAGACAGTCAGGTGTCCTGAGTCGCCTTGTCTGCCCCAGAAACACGGAGCTTTTCTGCAATTTGAGCATTTCAGTGAGGGCAAAGTGTTTTTCAGTGAAGTCTCCTGTGATTCTGCTTCATAAAGTTCTTATTAGAAATAAATGGGACCTTCTTTCTATCAATCTTTTTTAAAAATAAATAAATATATATATAAATTTTAAGATTTATTTATTTTATTGGAAAGTCAGATTTACAGAGAGAAGGATAGACAAAGAACTTCATCCACTGGTTCACTCCCCAGATAGCTGCGATCTGAGCCAATCTGAAGCCACGAGCTTTCTCTGGGTCTCCCACGCAGGTGCAGGGTCCCAACGCTTTGGGCTGTCCTTGACTGCTTCCCCAAGCCGCCAGCAGGAAACTGGATGGGAAGTGGAGCAGCCAGGATATAAACTGGCACCCATATGGGATCCCAGCAAGTGCAAGGCGAGGACTTTAGCCACTAGACTACTGCCCTGGGCCCCTTTCCATCAATCATATGTTAAACATCTGCTCCCGGAGAAGAGGCAAACGCAAGTAACGGAGGGTCCACTTGGAGCATTCTATCACATACACAGTCATGTTTTAAGCAGAAAATGCAATACTTTGGTAATAATATTTAGTTCTCTGGAATAGACCGAGAATTTGAGTCAGTCTCAGATCCAAGGGTAGGAATTCAACTTTTTGCTACGAAGTATAGTAAAAGCAGGTATTATTTTTGAGATACATGGTTTCCATGGAGAAGTCCAAATAAATAGAAAAATCCTGAAGCAGAGAGATGCAGATCACCCTGTCTGCCTTACTCCCCCACTGCTGTGTCCGTTCTCATTTTCATTCCCTCTTTGCCTCCATTTGTTTCAAGACACACATTGTTTGTCAGGTAGATTCAGATTTACCCAGAGAATACCAATTTATCAAATGTTTCATTCTGTTCCCTCTTTCATCACCGGTTCTTTAAAATCTGTGCTGTTAGTCCTTTGTGCCTCCAGTCGTGGCTTCTAGGCAAGGAGTGTGTGTTCCCATCATGGTACAGCCCTGGCCTATTTAACCAGGCATTCGCAAAAACTGGTCCTTCCCTGTCACCTGGCCACTGTGCCAAACTGAGCAACTGAGAAGACAGCATCAGGTTTTATTTTTCAATCAATATTTATATCTTCATTGTGTTTGAAAAGCAAATAGATTTCCCCTCCTGTGTCTTATTCCACAAATGCCCACAGGAGCCAGTGCTGGGACAGAACGCAGTGTGAGTGGCAGTGGCCCAGGTACTTGAGTTCTTGCCTGCAGGAAGATGGCAGAAGGAGCTAAGTGCGGACACAAGCCTTAAGGCATCCGCAGTGTGGGATGTGGACCATCCCAAGCAGCGTATCAGCCGTTGTGCCAAGTAGCACCATGTACTTGCTACTTTTAAGTTTGTGTCATTGTCTGTATTGTTTTCAGTGCCACACTGGAAAATTTCATCAGCAACATGGTAAGCGATCCATTAAACTCTTAAGAGGGAGTTTAGATGGGCAGACACACAGGAGCACTGTGTTGGTTTCATCCACATGCTTGGCTCTAAGGAGACATCCGTTATTCAGAACTATTTCAAAGAACGCTGTAACTACCCTGGTGATCTTGCTTAGCAAAGCATTAAATGCTTTGTGTTGGAGCTCCACCCAAAAGGGTTGTCATCATCATTTTTGTGAAATACAGTTCCTGGGGAAGGAGGGGGGTGAATCCATCTTGCCACGTGGGGCTCCAGGTTCTGTGTTGAGCCTCTGAGCTTTCAGAGTATGTATGTGTTCTAGGACAGTGCCATTTGCGTCAGATGGGGGGAGGTAGGGGATGACACAAGCTGATGAGCTGGCTTTGTGTCCTAGGAACATTCAGAAACTAGAGCATAACACTGCAGACCTCATGTGGCTGAGACTTTGTTCTAGCCACGGGGTGAGGGAATCCCAGGGCCACCCCATGACAATGTAACTTTGTTTGTATCAGACCCCTCTGTTAAAATGTATGATGACATCCCTGTCACTCTGCAACATATCTGCCTGGATGCCAAGATCCAAACTGGTGCCCTAATCCCACAGTTTCTCACCTAGTTTCTCGTGCTGCCCCTGAGAAGAGCTCTTAGACTGATAGGGGTTCAAATTCTTGCTCGATCATTGTCTGAAGATTGTTGCCTGATGTTTCCCTTGCTTTCCAATTGCCTGGCTTGTAAAGTAGGAGCAGTGAGTCACACCTGCGTGCAGGTGTTTTGTGTGAGAAGAAAATAAGCTGAAGCATGTGAAACAGTCTGAAGCGTGGGTGGCGTGGATAAGGGCTTGCAAAATGGTATCATCATCTACTGTGTGTCCTTTCCTCCAACTCCCAACTCTCTCTCCCAGTCCCTCCCACCAGCAATGTACAAATGGCAGCACCCTTTCTCTTTTCTGCCACATTTGGATTTCATTCCTGCTTATCCACCTGTCATTTTCAATCTTGTCCATCCTTGTCTTCCCAGCTGCACTGCCCCAGCAGCCATTGCTCAGTGTGCCCTACTACCAGCCCAGCCCTGTTCACCTAGGCGTGGCACCAAACCTGCACACACAACTGTGCCGACACTCTTACCTGTTAGGACACACGACTTCGTATTGTATTCAGAGCAGGAAGCTTCATGACTCTTTTGTCCCATGGAAAATAATCCCTCTTCAGGGTCATCGATGAGATGAGCAGGGCTTTTACAAAACCACTGGCTTGGTCTTGCGCTTACATGCACCGAATCTTCTCTCATCTCTTGTTTCTGTCTCCCTAATCTCCTCAGAGACAAGTTGGAGATTTACATCTGGATGGGACCCGTTGGGATAAGTGTTTCATGTGCAAATCTTGCCCATGTTCATATTATTTCTTTTTCCCATGTGTATGTCACCAGGACCTTTCCTTCTGTGTTTTTGAAAGCCTGTTTTCTTGTACTTATTTTGTGAGCAGCTTAGATCCTGTTGAACACTCAGTAGTCCAGGGATCCACCGCTTTCTACAAGGGAGCCGGAACTTTGTATGCTGACCCTGATGGGATTGGAGTTCTTTGGGGGCGGGACTCCGTGTGTGCTTCCTGGCCTGACCTTGCCTTTGCTGTTTCTCCCCATTAGCCTGGTGCCTGGGAAGCTGCGTCCTGTGGGAAGACAGAGGATCAGATGACGGCTTCAGGCCAACCTCGCAAATACGTGAATGCATTCTCAGCTCGGACTCTGGTCATGTGAGACATTGCCAGAAAAGCATTATAGTTTTCAGAACACTTCAAGATGACTTGGGATGTTTCGTTCCTCAACATGAAACTTTTCATGAATGGGAGAAGAACCTATTTTTGTTGTGGTACAACAGTTGAGAGCAGCACCAAGTGCATTTAGTTGGATAAAATCTTATTGGATTTCACCCAACTAAAAAGATTTTTAGAAATAAATAGCAGTCTTACCTAAATTATTAGGTAATGAATTGTAACCGGTTGTTAATATCTTAATGCAAATTTTAAAAAATGATTTATCTGTATTTTAGAAGATCCAACAGATCAGTATTTTTTTCCTGTGACAAGTTTTTCTGAAATTTTACACACAAACAGGTACTCCAGTATTTCACTTTTCTCAATCACTAAACATAGGCATAGGTTGTTTAAAAAATCAGCCAAAGCATTACTGTAAACGTTGGCTAAACATCATGGGACAGTGAATGGAGAGCATGAGTGCTCATTTATGGCTAATAACCTTGGAGGTACATTAACTGTACTCAAACATTTATGAGTTTTTTGTTAGCTTGCTTTAAAAAATTATTACTGTACGAAATAGTTTTTATAAAAATTATATTTTTATTCAGTAATTTAATTTTGTAAATGCCAAATGAAAAATGTGTTTTGCTGCTATGGTTTTAGCCTGTAGACATGCTGCTAGTATCAGAGGGGCAGTAGAGCTTGGATGAAAAGAAAAGAAACTTGGTGTTAGGTAATTGACTATGCACTAGTATTTCAGACTTTTTTATTTTTTATATATATACATTTTTTTCCTTTTGTAAAACATTGGAAAACTTATTTGGGAGATTTTGCATTTATTGTTGAGTGTATGTGTGTATGTGAGTATGTATGTCTTTTTTTTTTTTCGTGATGGTTGGTTTATAAAAGCATGCATTGCACTTCTTTTTTGGGAGATCTATGTTGTTCATGTCCTATGTGGTTTTTTTTTTTTTTTTAATTTTTTTTTGTTTTGTTTTAGTTCAGCCTGGCTGTTCTTTAATCCCAGGGTTCTGAGTTGGATCAGTATCCCCCATGGTTGCTAAGTGTAGAGTCTCAGAACTGCCGCACGGATCCTGTGTTTGCAGCTGGGAAACAGAGATGGGGGTCAACAGCCAGTGCTGCTTTTAAGAACATCTGGTGCAAGATGGCTGGCACTGAACTTCTGGTATGACAGTGTAATTACTGCCTGGTAGCGAAATAAAGCTGTGCCCTTATTTTACTTACCTTGGAGTTCTCTTGTTATTTTGTATGATGGTTGGACTTTTAAGAAAATGGGGCAGACTCAAAACCCTTCCCTTTCTTCATCATTTGCACACCATCTGAACTTCACATGAAGTTACGGAGAAAGAAGCATCAAATCAAGGTTACAAAGTATTCATTAAGGCAAATGGAAGGAATTTTCCAGAAGGCATCCATCAAGGTTCCAACAGCATTTGAATTGAGCTTAATGGGAGGAGTTTTTATCTCACAAGAAAGGTCCTGATATCCAGATGCAGGCAGGCCGTGGAAGGCCACTAGAAAGGACACATGCACAGGAATGCAAGCCTGGAGAACACTGCCTGCTACAGGGGGCAATTGTAGAAATCAGGAGCCCTTGAAAGGAACAGTTACTTTTAGCAGGTGCACTTCTGTTCAGGGAGACCTCTCCAAAAACGAAGGATTATCCTTGGCTTCGATTTCCCTGTTTCTCCCACCTCTGCTCAGGCAGAACCCAAGCCGAAGGCAGAGGGCTAGGGAGACCCAGTTGGGAATCCCTTCAGTCAGTTGCCAGGGCATCTCAGAGGCACCTGGTCAGTGTCCCTCCATGTTTTACAGCCACACTTTCATTACCTCCATCTCTCAGATTTGTTCTATTCACTTTGCTATAACATCTCTACCACAAATTCTTTTTAATTTCCTGTAAATCCTGTTACCTCTCAGGCTGGATTCCCCAAAACATGCTGTACTGGATACTCATAAAACCAAGAATCCCCAGATGCCTGGGTGTAGGATGGCATTGAGAGATCAAAGTATAGATTAAACCAAGGGGAAATATAGAAAAAGGGAAAGATCTGAGGTGGACAGGCCATCTAAACAGAACTTGAACTTTGTCAGAGTGAGAGATAGAGGGTTGCTGAATGACTTGGGGCAAGGAAATAAAACCATATGTGTCTGATTTGTAGATTCTGACCACATCTCTTATTTTTGAAAGGCAAGAGAAATAGACACTTCCAGAGAACTCTCCAATCTATTGGTTCACTTTCCAAATGTCTATAATAGCCAATAGCCTGAAATTCAACCCAGGACCCCACAATGGTGACAAGGATCCAAGCGCTTGAGCCATCATCTACCACCTCCATGAATGCTCTTTGGCAGGAAGCTGAGTGGGAAGCAGAGCAACGGTAACTCAGCCAGACTCTGCTAGGAGATGCAGATGTTCCAAGTAGCATCTTAATTGCTGTGCCAAGTACTCACTCAAAAGTTTGCATTTTATACCTGCATTTTATACCCAGGCAACTGGGTCTTGCAGGGTGTAATTTCTATTGCACCTTAATTAAAAAAAAAAAAACCTCAATTTTAGCCCCAGAAAATCTTATTAAAAAATCTTTTAATCAGAAGTTTGTGCAAGGTATTTTCATTTTATAGTTCATATGGTCTATAAAGTCATTTGTTCAGGAAGAATCAACTACATAACACTTGTCATTTTTGTTTTAAAAAAAGTTTATTTCATTTTTATTCAAAAGATAGGGTTACACGGAGAGGAGAGAAAGAGATCTTTCATCCACTGATTCACTCCTCAAATGGCTGCAAACAACTGGAACTGAGCTGACCCAAAGTCAGGAACCAGGAAATTCCTCTAGTTCTGCCATGTGGTTATAGAGGCCCAAAGACTTGAGCCATCTTCCTCTGCTTTCTCAGGCCATAAAAAGGGAGCTGGATGAGAAGTGGAGCAGCCAGGACACAACTGATATCCATAATGGGAGGCTGGATCCACAGGTGTAGGATCGTCCTACTGTATTACAGCGCCAAACCCATAATTGGTCCTTTTAAGAGCAGAATATAAAAGGTTCTTCAAAAGTTCAGAGAAAATGGAAGTAAAAGAAATGTTTATTTTGGTGGAGAAAAATTTTGAAATCCATGCATGGTTTTCTCATAATATGCATTTCCCATGAACTTTAGGAAGAGTCCTTATATTTTCAAGCAATAATTTATCTCGACTCTTCCTTGTGGGACTGTCACTGTGGTGTAGTGGTAAGGCTGCTACCAAGCCACTGCCTGCAGCATCAGCATCCCATAGGGGCACGATTGGAGTCCCTACTTCTCCACTTCCAATCCAGTTTCCTACAGATAGCCTGGGGAAGCAGAAGGAGGCTTAACCTACAAAGCCTTAGTGCCACCCCCTTGCCATTTCAAAACACCAAATCTTCCATTGACCTTCCTTGTATAGTGTGATCCTTGACTATATTTTGATGGATTTTGATATATTTCCTATTAAGGAATTCTGACACTGGCTCCTGGAGGTATTTTCAGCTTAATTTTATATATTTTTTAAAATATTTGTTTATTTGAAATGTAGAGCAACAGAGAAAGGGAGCCTTATCATTTTGGTTCATTTCCCAGATAACAATAAGAAGATAGTCTGTACTTGGCTGAAGCCAGGAGCCAAGAACTCCATCTGGATCTCCCAAATGGGTGGCAGGAGCCTGAGTACTTGGGCCATCATCTGCTCTTTTTCCCAAGCACATTAGTGGGAAGTGGAGGAGCCAGGATTTCCAAACCATGCTCCAATAGAGGTTTGCACCTGCCCCGAGTGGTAGTTTAACCAGTTGTGCCATAATACCCACTCTTAAAATATATTTTTAGAGTTAGTGATTCTCAGGCTTTTGGGGGCATGAGGAACACATTGGGGAACTTCTTAAAAATGGAAATTCTTGACTTCACTGTCACATATTCTGATTCATTAGTCAAGTGTTGACCTAGGAATGTTTAAGAAGCTTCCAGGTGATTCTAGCACAAGAGGTCTGAGGGGACCATACTACAAATCCTGTCTTGGAAAAGAATCTTTATTCCCACCCACTCTGCATTTTCTGACTGAATATTCCCCAATAGCCTTCAGTTCTTATGGAGCTCATTTTCAATTAAAATGTCCATTGGCCTATTGAACAGCAGAAAATGGATAAGACCCTAACTTATGATAAGAGAACCTTCTTAAGACTAGAGGATTGTTATATTACAGATGTTGCTAATTATGGGTAACACTGGTCTTGAGATTGATCTTTCTTTGACTTTATGATATGTCTGGAAACATAATTTTACTTGCAGTCTATCTGAATCTTTGGTAATATGGATCTAGTGTCCATATAGTATCAAAAGGGAGTCTTTGTCTTCATTTAGCACAGAAACAAAACAAAACACACCACTTTCATTCAAAAGCCCTTGGTTCTAACCCAGCCTCTAATCAACGTGCTGAGACCTCTCTTCAGGTCACCTTATACCTCTGTGCTTTGGGGTTTCCAATTAAATGGAGGAAGTATTTAATCCTGTATATAGTTACAAAGCACACAGAAGGCCACAGATCAAAGACCAACAAAATTCAAAGACAGTCTTTATGGTTTAAAGACATTGGAACACTTAGGATAGAACTGGGAGATTTTCCTGTGAAAAGTATCCTCGGAAATAAACTTGTAAATTAACAAATGACCCTTAGTATGTGTTGTTTATGGATAAATGCTAAACAAGGTTACAATTTGCTTTTCATTCAATGATTTTTTTCAAGACTGCAAATCCAGCCACCTATGCTTTAGTAGTCCCAAAGATCAAATGAAAGATGTTATATTCTAACTCAAGTTAGAATATAACCCATTAATTTATTTAACAAATATTTATTGAGTACTACTTTGGCCTGTGCATGACCAAATTGGAAAACAATATGTGAGTATATGTTTTATAAATGGGGTATATATATATATATGTATACATATTATATGTACACACATATATATATACATACACACACATACTGTACAGCCTATATGAACTGTAAACCTTATAAATATGTAACATTGGGAGCATAGCAGCATTTTCTGGGATACCTTAGAAGTAACCAAGAAAGAAGCTTATTTCATGTTTATTTTTTTAAAAACTGTATTTCTTCAAAATGTCCTTTCTGTGGGGAGGGAGGACCTGGTGTTGTGGTGTGACAGGTAAAGCCACTGCCTGTGGAGCCAGCGTCCCATATGGGTGCTTATTGGAGTTAGCTGCTCCACTTCTGACTCAGCTCTCTGCCGATGACCTGGGAAACAGCAGAGGATGCCTCTGTTGGGCCCCCGCCACCCACTTTGTAGACCTGGGTAAAACTCCTCTAACTCTTAGTTGCTGGCTTCCATCTGGCCCAGCCCTGATCATGTGGCTATTGAGTCAGCAGATGGAAGATCTTTCTATGTCTCTCTGCCAGTCTGTCTTGCCCCTTTCTCCGTAACTCTGACTCTGTAACAAATCAACAAATCTTTGTTTTTAAAGTCCTTTTCATGCTCTAACATTCCCACTGTTGAGCTATGTCTTAAAACACAATGTGGTTGCGCTTTCTTTGAAAACTCTTGTTAAATTCAATCTTATCACTGCTGATGGTATAAAACAAAGGAAGGGCTTAGAATTCAGTAGCAGAGATTTCCAAAAGGACTAATCAGTTTTCCACCCCAAGAAAATTTGTCCCTTTTTTTCCTCCAGGCACATCTGAGCCACACAGCATCTCAGTGTTCCTAGTTTGGTGTGTGTCGTAACTTTCCCCATCTGAATACCCTTTCTATCTCTAGTGTCTATACTGATGCCCAACCTGCAGTACACTCACAGAAGACACCTTGAAAACCCATGAATGAATGAGTTAGCATTCCTGCACGGTCTCACCTCCCCCCTACCTGCAGGGCTGTGGTCAACCACTTCTTCTCTCTGGGTGTGTACTTGCTCAGTTGTGCAGCAACCAGGCCACAGACTCCCTCTAACCATCTCTGAATAAGTAGAGTCACTGAGAAATGGGAAACTGCAGTGGGCTTTGAGGATTTGTTTGAAGTGTGTTTTGCTCACGAAGGTAACACAATTAATAACAGTTGCTGAATATCAAGTAGAAGGACCGAAAGGAAGTATCCACACTTCGGGACTCCTCCCATCTCTACCCCCAAGTCTTATGGTTGCTGCTAAGTACAAGGATCCTTCAGTGTTTGCTATGTCATTTAAAAGGCACTCAACA